CAATGTAAGTAAGATTTCATTAAAAATAATTTTACGATATTGACAAGTATTATTACAAGCAAGATTGTGTAGAAGAGGACCTGCGTTATGCTCCGTAAATACATGTATGGAAGAATCGATGGTACAATGATCAACTACTTCATGTGTTTCCATTTCACCCATCCTATTTGAAATTTGTTGGAGGGGAAAATCAGGCTTCCTACACAATTTCCTAAACAATGTCATATTTTTTCATACGGGAAAGCAGAAAATGAATCGACAGGACCTAATTGTCGCACGTCACTCATAAGATGAATAAGACCATGTACATTGTAAGAATTAAACGTTGGACTATAAATATATTGAGATCTAACAACAAATTTTTGCAAGGCAGCATTTGCGAAATTCAAATATGCCTCTGAAGGCGACGTGGAAATTAGAATTTTTATTGCCACATGTAAAAATAAAAAATGTGCATACACTTCTTGTCGGAGAATACCGTATGTTACCACTGGACCTATGTATAACAGAAATTGACGATATTCTGTCGCTTTGTATTTCGTACATACTTTGAATGATCTAGGACGTCTTGCAAAATCGGATGGGCAATAAACTGTAAGTCTTTCCAATTGTGTACATATGGCAGTAATAGATGTTGCAGACAACTTTGAAAATCGTGAATATTTGCCATATATCCATGCAGATAATAATTTTTTAACTTCCAGGCATACGAGATGCATATACTCGAAGGGAACCTGCGAAACCATTCCTATTGGTAACATCGATAATGGACTTGTACTATCTCTATGATGATCCTCATCTAAGCATGTGACATTCTTCATCCGTACGAAGATTATTATTAACATCATTGAAAATATAACGCCCTTCACATCGTATACCAGAAATTTTACATTTGGAGCATGGTTGATTCGACATATGGCTTCGATGATTAAGGATGAAAGCACGAGCCGGTGCGTCGGCTATGAAGCATCTTAGACGTATTGATATTTTATTATCATGATAAGATATTCCTCCGTTAAATAATATTCTTTTAATATCTGCGACAAATTTTTCAAAGAATAAATTTGGATCATTTGGTTTCGTGGAATCCCTGTATATTCCTACTACTATTGGTCTCGTATGCCTGATGTTTGCAAGCCTACATTGAATTGGCCAAATATGAATACTTGCAGATCTATCTAAATAACAACCATCAGTATTTAAATCAATTTCTAATTGATTAGGAAGTGAAGTAGGTGGAATGCGTGAAAAAAGATGAGAAATTTGTGTTTCTAAATCAAAATGAATATATTCGCCTGGTGCGACTTTGGAAACAACCACATTACTTCGCGGAGTATGTAAAAGTGTCCTCACATCTTTTGGTAAGTTATTAAAACAAACATGTGTCCGAAGGAGAGATACCAGATTATTAGCTTCCCTTATAGAAATATCATACTAAGAATCATTGATAATTACTTA